CTACAGGCGCGCGCCTGTGGGGTTTTTTCAGCCAAAAACTGACATTTTCCAAAAGTTAAAAATTTGGCCTTAGTCTATCATTACTTACTTCAGCAGATACTCTAGAGGAGTAGTTGAGCATTTCCAAGCAAACTGATGGCAGAAAAGGAGATAGTCAAATGAGGAAAAAACAGATTTTACAAAAAAATTTCCCCAACAACTTTTGGTGTCCTACCACTTTACCTTGAATCCCAGACAGTTGTTTTACACATGAATGGACACTGTAGATGTAGAGTAGGTAATCTAGATGTGTAATCTGACATTTTGGAGCAAACTCTAGAGGAGTAGTTGAGCATTTCGAAGCAAATTGATGGCAGAAAAGGAGATAGGCAAATGAGGAAAAAAAAAAGATTTTACTATGAAATTTCTCCAGCAAGTTTTGTTGTCCCATATTATTATTTAACACATGAATAGTCATTCTAGATGTAGAATAGGTAATCTAGATGTGTAATTTGACATGTTGGAGCAATTATGGAGATTTTTCCACAGGTAAGCGCCTGTCATGTTTTGCCAGCCAAAAACTGTCATTTTTGTGAAGTGTAAAATTTTGTCCCAGACTATTGTTTCACACTTCAACAGATACTCTAGAGGAGTTGTTGAGCATTTTGCAGCAAATTGGTGGCAGAAAGGGAGATAATTACATGACTAAATGGACATTTTTGAGTAAACTGGTGGCAGTAAAAAGAGATGGAAAAATTTTTTTTTTTAAAGTAAAACTTTCCAGCAAACAGGTCACCGCTCACAGTTACTCCATTCCTTTACCAATGAAAATCACACACAATATTCTCACTGCCCTATTTAAAAAGTATTGTAGAAACAGCTAGTCGAGGCAAAATCTAGAAACTTGCACATGCAATACTTAGGAGCAGAACTTTTTTTCTGGTGGTACCTTGCGGTGCTAGTACCAGCACATTTTTTTAGGCAGAATTTTTTTTTTTTACACTGCTGAAAAAGACACCTTTTGGTAAGCACTGGCTTGTTTCTTAAAGACTTTATGCTTAGTAGCGACACCTTTTTTCTCTAGAAAAAACCTTGCTTAGAAGTATCAGTCCCCAAAACTTGGTAGTTCTATCATTATGAGCTTAAAATATCAAACTGGTGCAGAACTGTCTGTATGATTAGTTGTTTCTTTGGTTTCAGACACAGAGAAGAACATTCACTTCTATTATGATTCCAGCAGGTAGGTAAAGACAGTAAGGTGCCTTCTCCACAGTGGAAGTTGGCTTCAGTGAATCACCAACACTTTTTGTCTGTCACCATGTTTGTGCGCTCTTTCGGACTGCTGTTTATTTATCTCTTGATGTTATCAATCTTTCTTCTTTGTCCATCTTTCTTCTTCTTTGCGTTCACCCGCTGTAAACTGGTGGATAAGTTCTTGATATTTGTCCACTTCTTTACTTTGGTCTTGTTCCAGAACTTGAGTTTTATGTGCATGTCTGTTTTACTGGTCTGATTTATTTGTATACAGACTGTTGGTTTTTCCTTGTCCCTCAGGCAGATGCACCCCAACTTTGAAGGATTGTTGTCCTCCAACTGTTATTGCTTTCTTCGTCTTGTTTTTTTGCCTTTTATTTTCCAACCAGCAATTTTTTTTAATTTTTTTTATGTGACTGAAAATTTCACAAGTTTTTTTTTTTAAATATCTTTCTGTCACTCTCTTTTCATTCCCAGTCTCTTTAGAACCTCTGTATTTGATTTGTCTTGTTTCCCTGAAATACAGACTTCTGTATCTCCACTCCAGAGGCACAGTTTGATTTTACAGCAGCATGTAAAACTTACATGAAAATAAAGGCAAATTGAATAAGAACTATTTTTTGGCCATCTGCAAGCAATCAGTGTCAAAGTTGGACCCTTACTAAAAATTATGAATGCTAAATAACAGCAGGAATAAGATGACTTAGAAGAGTTGCTTTTGTTGCAAGAAAAGGTAAAATTAAAGATGAAGAAATCAGAAAAAGACTAGGCCTAAAACCAACTATACGGTTTATTGGAGAGCAACAGATGAATTGGTTTGGCCGTCTGACAAGAATGCTTGGTACCAGATGCCACAGAAAGCCTCTTTAGATAAATATATTGGATCAAAGCAAGAGGAAGAACATGCACTGTTTATAGATTGACATTGTTTTTTTATGTAAAAAAAATTTATTGACTCTGTTTTATGTGAAATATTTTTTCATCTGTTTGAATAAAAATAGTGTTGAAAAATATAAATTGGACTTACGACAGGTTCAACTTACGACAGATGAATTGGTTTGGCCGTATCTCTGTAGGACACACAAAGACTCACACCAAATACTTTTCAGAACCTTGGCACCTGAAGAATAGGGAACCAGCGCCCTATAATCCCTTGATGCTCACCTGTGAATCTGAAGGTCATGAGTTCAAATCCCAACAGGGCCTGGCCTCTCTCTCTCTCTCTCTCTCTCTCTCTCTCTCTCTCTCTCTCTCTCTCTCTCTCTCTCTCTCACATTGTACCCCACCAGGACGTCACACAAGCGATAAACACCTGGAGACACAAACTGCCACCATGTGGGCTAAAATCACCCGTGGAGAGGTCTCAGAAACCCCTTTCAGCCATAAAGCCATATTTATGGCCCAGCTATACTCAGGGCCCCCGGCAAAAGGCAGAGTGGGGCTTCAAATAACAAAAAATTACAACCTACATAAGGAAGACTTATATGATGGTCTGGCTTTTTTTCAAAATGACCTTGGCTCCGAGGTCTTCCCAGCCTTGAATGGGTACCAAGTAAAGTCCTGGGAAGAAAGGATGGCTGGTGTGATGTTGACCACATCACCCACTGAGTGCTGATTCATCTTTAAAATCTAGGTCTAGCACTGCTTGCCCAATATGCCTAAAGACATGGAAAAGGGTCATTTCTTTAGCTTGCTGGGATGGCTACTGTAGTCAGTATCCTGCTGGCCGTCCTTGCTGCCTAGAACATTTGCTGGTACAGATTTTAGCTCAGGTCATCCCATTTCCATAAGCACTCCATCCTCATCTTCAGCAGCAGCCAGCAAAGAGTTCCACTTCTGCTGGTGCCAGTAGCTGTCTGATTATACATCTGTCTTGCCTTATCTTTCTGTATAGATTCCCCCCCCCCCCCCCCCCCCCCCCCCCCCACCAGGTGTGTGCGAAGAGGTTTCAATGGGGCATCAGGCAATTTTAAAATTGAGTGCATTTGTATTTCTAATAATCCGTTATATTATATTTTTCAGTATATTTAAAAATATAATTTTTTTAAAACTATTTATAAAACAAAAAGCAAAAAATGTTGTTGTTGCTTAAATGAATATGATAACACAGGTGTTTAATTATAGAGAACACATTCTGACCAAAATGTATCTCCATACTTTCTATTTCTCTTGTTGCATAATCTCTTGTCCTCCTCTTTTTAATTTTTAAAATTTTGTCATGATGTGGGGAAGGGGGGGAGGGGGGTGAGACCACCTTTCTTAACACTTTTTTTAATACACTTTGTGAATCAGTTACAATCATGAGGAAGTTACCTCGGGATTTAAATGCGTGCCAATGAATTAGCAAACAAGCGTTTTAGCCACTGTGAAAGCTTAGCTTTAGCTCTCACTATGACAGTATCTCCTTCTGCTTTCTTTTACTTTTCTTCTTCTTCTTCATCTTCGTTGTTGTCATCTTTGACGATGGCAGCTCTTGCTACTGCTTCGTCTTCTTTTTCTTTTTTCTTTCTCTTCTTCTTCTGCTTCTTCTTCTTCTTCTCTTCTTCTTCTTCTTCTTTTCTTCTTTTTTCTTTTTCTGATGTGTTCGCCCTTAAAAAAAAGGTTGGCAGGTTGTATTGTTGCTTACAGTTGGGCAGTGATATCTGCTGCACCTTTTGGTCCAGCACCTCGGATTTCAGCCAATCCTTCATTGGTCACTTTTTTTTTTGGCAGCATGCTTATAATTGACAGATAGTCTATTCCATCCAGGCCCCTTCAAATGGGAGCCCAGAAGCACACAGGGAGGACATTATCTAACATTTACCTTTTCCCTATGCTGTTTCCTAGCTCTACTAGTGCCTGCCCAAAGGGACGAACTACCATCATCAGTCTTCGCTGTGATGCAACCCAAACCAGCACTGGAATCATCGACTTGCCACCAAAATGTACTGACGGTACTTGTCATGGGTGCACATTCCACTTCTTGTGGCGAACGATTCATGCATGTCCTAGGTGTCGCAGGGAGGACTACAAGATAGTCAAGGGAGAGTGTGTCCATGGAGAACAGTTGATACATTACTTCCCCCCAGAGTAAGGTGTCTTCGTGTCGTGCATGTCTTGCATGCTATGGCTGAAATGTTATTTTCATGTCATTCAGTCTATCATTACGATGATTTTTATATAATTTAATATGTCACAGTTGTTTTTTTAAATCATTAAGTCTTTGACAGACCTGGTTTTTATATTATTCAGCCTTTGACAAACATGAATTTTATATCACTTTTTCTTTAGATATGATTTTTATAACACTTAATCTTTGACAAAACTGATTTTTGTATAATTTTTTTTTTTTGATAAACATTTGATAAACACAGTAGTGTGTATAGGTCACACCTAGTTTCTGAGATTAAAGTTTGATTTTTTTTTCTTACTTAGTATTGTGTCAAAAAACCAAAATGAAACAGTAGTACCTGTATGCAGTAAAAGATGGGCCTTGCAAGAGCAAGTTACAGTTGTAAATTTAAATTGCAAGTAGGGCTTTATGTGCAAGAAAATTTAAACCAAGCAGCTGGGAGGAAATGTGGGAATGCTGTGGATGAGAAAAATATGGGAAGATGGGCTGGAATAAACAATGCTTTTGAACAAAACAAAAAAAACCATTCTGGTTGACAGTATTTTAGAGGCAAGAAGGTGAAGTGAAATACACGGAAGTAGAAGCCAGTCTGCTGGAGTATGTCAAGAAAATAGGGGCAGATGGATCACATGAGAAGCTGTTTAGCTGTTTCAACAAAAGCCTGATAGGCAAGAGATTTTGTTTTAATCTTCAGCTTTCTGTTCTGTCTATGTACAAAAGCAGTGGCAAACTAAAAAAGGTTGTTGCATATCCTTTACAGGACGTTGCAGGACGTTCTAGGCAACTTTACGTCCAAAAGTTTAGTGGCAAACTACTGAATGTAAATTTGCTTATTAAAACCACAACAGCTAAAAAATGCTTGGGTTGGATCTGCAACGTTCTGTAAAGGACACGCAACTAACTTTATATATATATATATATATATATATATATATATATATATATATATATATATATATATATATATATATATATATATATATATATATATATATATATATATATATATATATATATATATATATATATATATATAAAATGTGCTTTTCCATTTTCCAGAGATTGTCTACAGCTGCCAGAAGAAGCATTTTTACCAATGACTCAAAAGTGCACAGTTTTGCCATTTGTGGTAAGTTGGAGGTTTGATGCCAGCTCCAGTTAAATAATATTGTAACTCTTAATGTTGAATCTGTTTAATCAAAAACATAAAGATCAACTGAAACAATTATCAATAAACTGTAAAAATTCCTTGATTGATGATCAGACAAAATTGGATTGAAACAGTATGACAGAACCAACAATGTAGGCTCCTATAGTGAACTAAATAATAATCCACCGAGAAAAGATACAATATATTGCATGTATACAAAAAAGTTATGAGAACATTGAGTGATAATTAAAACATGGAAGAGTGAATTGTATTTCTTCTTCTTCTTCTTCTTCTTCTTCTTCTTCTTCTTCTTCTTCTTCTTCTTCTTCTTCTTCTTCTTCTTCTTCTTCTTCTTCTTCTTCTTCTTCTTCTTCTTCTTCTTCTTCTTCTTCTTCTTCTTTCTTCTTCTCCTCCCCCTCCTTCTGCTCCTTCTTCTTCTCCTCCTTCTCCTGATCCTTCTTTTCCTCCTCCTTTTCCTTCTCCTTCTTCTCCTCCTCCTCCTGCTTCTTCACATTCACTAGCTGTAAACTCTGACGGAAATTCCTGGCTGTTCACTTCTGTGCATTGATCTTGTTCCATGACTTGGGGTTTTGCGTCATTTACAGATGTGACCTATTTGTGTCCGGACTGTTGGTTCCTCACCTCTCAGGCAGAGACACTCCGACTTCAAGGACTAAATCAGTTCTGTCTATGTTGGCCAGGCCCCCAGTTGGGAACCTGTTTCTAGGATGACCACTGAAAGGTGTAGAAGGGTCTGGACCAGCATGAGTTCTAACCCTGGTGCACTGCTGTGTATGTGGCTCAGCATCTCTACATCCCATGCAGTTGCCACAAACTGTACAGGTTAGGAGTTGCACTTTTTGCCCTGGCATGCATGCAGCCACACATGTACACACACACACAGACACACACATACAAACACACACAGAAACATACATACACAGACACACACACATGCACACTCACACACATTTCAACTGTCAGCTTACAGACATTTTAAATCTGGGTCTTCCAAAGGAACTATTATCATGTGCACTTGTAACTGTGTCAGCTTTTGTCTTCTTCTGCCTTTGATAGTTGTAAGCATTGTTACCATTATATGATATTTCTGTTTCTAGGTTGTGGTTGCTATTCCAATCTCTGTTGTAGTGGGAATTGTTTTGATGTTTCTACTTATTTACTGCTGGTCCAGAAACAAGAAGTAAGTATGCATTACTTGTCTGTTTGTTTCATTAAGTTTGCTGCTTTTGTGCGTTGATTTAATGTTCTTAACTCCCAGATTAGTTGTACTGTGCTGCATCTTCTCTCACCCCTCCCCCCCCCATGCCTCGCCACCTCCCTCCCCCTCCCTGCCTCCCTCCCTAGTACTGGCAGGGTTTTACATTTTACATTAATCCAGCCTTTAAAATGGATTTGTCTGGGAAAATAAAGGCAGTCAGTTGACTGACGTAACCTATGTGTGATGTTTAGTTATAGAAAATATAAGTTTTTTTTGTGGCTTAGAAGGGAGCCATTGTGGTACAGCAGCTAGATGCTCGCCTGGGGTGCCAAATATTGTGGGTTTAGATCCTGATGGAGCTAGACTAGGGGGGAAAAAAGGTTTTTGCTCTCAGGGCGAACTAGCCTTAAATAGGTACCAGGCAGAGTCCAGGGAAGTAAAGTCGGCCAGCATGATGTTGACCACATCACCCACCGGTGGCGATTGGTTTATAAAATATAGGTCTAGCCCTATATGCCGAAAATGCTAGAAGGTGTGGAAAAGGGTCCTTGTTACTGTGGTTTAGAGGTTAGTGAAATCCTTTCACAAAACAAGAAGTGATGCCTCGACCTCCTCTCCCCTCCCCCCCTCCCCTTCCCCCCCCCCCCCTCTAAAATTTAGGAGGGAGGCTCTGGTGTACTTTAAGGAAAACTACATTTTATCATCTTACAGGCTTGTCAGTTCCGATTGTTTTACAGAGAATAGTTTGTTTAATGATGAGTTTGTGTCCTGATGAAGCCTGACTTTTTTCAAAAAGACCTTGGTATTCAGGTTCTTGAGTGAGTACCAGGTACAGTCCTGGGAAGTAAAGGTGGCCAGTGTAATGCTGACCACATCACCGACAAAGTGCCAATTGGTCTGTAAAATATAGGTCTAGCCCTATATGCCCAGTACACCTGAAGATGTTGATAAGGATCCTTTACTAAGTATATTTAGTGCATCTCTGTGGTGAAGTGGTTGCTCTTGCTCTGAAGTTTGTGGGTTTAACTTCAAACTGTGGTCCATGAGTGCAGATTTCTCAGAGATTCCCGGGAGACAATTCTGGTGCTGCAGTTTATGTTTTGTGCTCCCTCTGTGTGTACCATGTTTTTGACAGGATTTGGGGAGGGGGGGGGGGGGAGCTACTGCTCCTGAACCCTATGGCCCCTGAGAAAGGCTAAATCTAGTCACCTCCGGTTGTGACATGACCCCGTAAATGATTATTTAATGCTATTTTTGCAGTGACCTGTTCTCGGAAAGCATAGATGCCATTGGTTCTCACATGCGCCTGTGCAGTATTTAGTAGGTCCCTTTCTTATGATCTCAACGGCTTTTAAAGCTATGTTGATAATGAATGTTCCCATAAGCCTCAGTGATAGAGTCGTGTTGTGAGTCACCCAATACATATTTTTTTTAGGGCCCTGAGTGATTTATTCCAGTTAATTTTTCACTCTGTATTTATTGATTACCCGATTTATATATCTATATATTTTTAAAACAAATATGAAAATGTAGATAAATAAATGTTAAAAAATGTTTGTATTTTTTAAGCATTTATTTTTATGGGAATTCCTACGAGTTCAAAGCTGATTTTGTTTTTTAAAGCTTTCAAAGGCTTAAAGAATTATCAAAGCAATGTTTCCCTGTTGTGAATTTGAACAAAGAAGACACAAACAATAGACTGCACAATTTATTGCCTGGCATATTTCTCTGTATCTCGTCAGGTGCATACTACAGTAACAAGTGAATAAATGAAGCAAATAGCTGAATCCTAGAAACTGAAACACAAATTCGAGTACATTCTACACTGTCTGTTTCACCAAGGTAACCTTAAGGAAACTACAATTTCTTTCTGCCTACAGAGATCCGGTTTTAACCGGTTGATTGCAGAAGCTTCTGCGTATCTGAGTAATCTGCGGTTGGCCGAATTGTTAAAGGATTAGCAAGCATATTGGTAAGGGCAAGTAAATAAGGATTTACTGATATGAGATGTGTTTGGCCAAAAGATACAGACATCACAGCCTAGCTGTAAACCACAACAGAATGTGCCAGTTGTCCTTTTAAAGGTCAGCAAAGAGGAAGAAAAAGTGTTCTGAGCAATGCTTTTGCATATGACCACTTGCCTTGCACAGTCAGAGGCAGAATCCTTCGGAATTAGGTACAGGCTCAGTCTTCTTCATTTTCTTCTTTTTCACATTCACCGGCTGTCAAACTCCAAAGGAAAGTTCTGGTTATTCGTCCACTTCTGGATTTCAACCTTGTTCCAGAATTTACCTGTTGCATGCACATCCATTTTACAAATCTGTTTTATTTATATGCAGATTGTTGTTGGTTCTTCGCCTCTCAGGCAGATAGACTCAAAACTTCAATGGAACCCTAATTAGTTTTACACCATTCTTCTTATGGGGACATTGGCTCTATTCTCTCCCCTCCCCCCCACATCACAATGGAGCCCCAGACCAACACAGGGATCCTGACTCAATGAAGTGCTCTTGTTTTTTAAACACTTCTTTTAGTTGTTTCTTTGTTGTTGTTTTTTATTGTGTGTGTGTTTGTTACATACACAGACTGGAGTACAAGTACATGAAGTTGGTAGCGACATCAGGTGGCAATGAGGGAGAACTCCCAGCTGCTGACACCTGCGGCATGGAGGATGACGAAGAGGATGTTCATTACCAGAGTCAGAGAGCTACCGCAACTTTCTTTGATAAAATCAAAAACAAGTTTTTCGTCGGCACATTTAAGGTATTTCATAGTTGTTTATTGTTTTAGTCCCAAACAGTGCACTTGTGTTATTAGCTGTTGCCCGTGTGTATTGTACCAAACAAGTCTGTTATTTTACAAACGTTATCCTACTTATTTCACAGATATTATCCCACTTATTTCATTAACATCGCACTTATATCAGAGACATTATCCCACTTATATCACAGACATTATCCCACTTATATCACAGACATTATCCCACTTATATCACAGACATTATCCCACTTATATCACAGACATTATCCCACTTATATCACAGACATTATCCCACTTATATCACAGACATTATCCCACTTATATCAGAGACATTATCCCACTTATATCACAGACATTATCCCACTTATATCAGAGACATTATCCCACTTATATCACAGACATTATCCCACTTATATCACAGACATTATCCCACTTATATCACAGACATTATCCCACTTATATCACAGACATTATCCCACTTATATCACAGACATTATCTCACTTATATCACAGACATTATCCCACTTATATCACAGACATTATCCCACTTATATCACAGACATTATCCCACTTATATCACAGACATTATCCCACTTATATCACAGACATTATCCCACTTATATCACAGACATTATCCCACTTATATCACAGACATTATCCCACTTATATCACAGACATTATCCCACTTATATCACAGACATTATCCCACTTATATCACAGACATTATCCCACTTATATCACAGACATTATCCCACTTATATCACATTATCCCACTTATATCACAGACATTATCCCACTTATATCACAGACATTATCCCACTTATATCACAGACATTATCCCACTTATATCACAGACATCATCCCACTTATATCACAGACATTATCCCACTCGTTTCATAAATATATCCCTTCTAATTTACCAGAGGAATTATTGTGTCTGATTCTCAGTCGACATTGTGGAAGGTTCAAAATGGACTAATGTGGCATGAGTGGGTACCATGCATCAGTACGCAAGCATTGCAGGGAATCACGTGGATATACTGTCTGGGATGTGCAGGAGTGCGAGGGAATGAAAGAGCGAATTTTCTGGCTACAAAAGCGATAGCTATGGAAACATTTATACTGGACAAGGGAGATATTCTAAAGACCATATATGAATGACTGCTGACAGAAGATATGAGATTAGATGAAATATCACGTGCAAGGAGGGATGAATGAGACGAAGAGAACGAGGTGTGTATAATCAGTGTGCCACGGGAACAGTTAGCATCTACACTTTTAGATATTTGCTGTGGGAGACAGAGCATCTATGGGTATGCCCGGTGTGCTTTGATGTTGATTCTTAAATCAGTAATTTTACAAATGTTATCCTACCTGTTTCAGAAATGTCCCATTGATTCCACAAACATTAACCCACCAGTTTCACATCTGTTTCACAGGATGATGAAAATCCATTTGTGGCAGTGAGAATGTCAGAGAAGATGTCACTGACATAGGAGGAATAATTATTCAAAGCAAAAGGGAAAGCAGACAAGTTATCCAGAGGGTTAAATATCAAATGCTTCCTTTATTGTCTGTTGCTTGAAATATACATTGTTCACATTTTTATCTCAATAAGTTTTCTGAGGTAAAACTTTTATGCCATTCGATTAGTAAATTCAAAGTGTTGAAGACAGCAGTAAAAAGATCTTTAACTTTATGCCATTCCATTAGTAAAAAGTGTTGACAACAGTGTAAAGATTAAACTGTATGCCATTCCATTAGGGAGTGCAAAGTGTCAAAAACAACAGTATAAAGATCTTTTGCTTTACACCATTCCTTAACAAACTTCAAATGTCACAGAAAACAGTATAAGGATTTTTTTTTAAATTTGTACCATTCCATAAACAAACTTACAGGGTGAAAGCAAACAGTATATACAGGTTTTGCTTTATGCCATTCCATTAACAAACTTTATGTATCCAATAAAACAATTAAATTTGTTTGGTTTATGGCATTCCATTAATGAACTTAACATGTCAGTGATAAGAGTATAAAGATGTTTTACTGTATGCCAGTCCAACAGTATAAATGTGTTTTGCTTTATGACATCCCATTAACAAGCTTGCCAATGATAATAATATAAAGTGGGTTTACTTTATGCCATTCATATGACAAACTTAAAGTATCAGAGAAAACAAAATAAAGATATTTTACTATTAGTAACTATTTATTATTACTATTTTTGAAATAAAAACCTCAAATAGAACATATCAGTGTCAGTCCCAGGTTGTTTTGAATTACACAATGTATATGTTGCAATGTTTTTACCCTAGAGCAGTATTTCTCCACTTTTTTACACCCGTTTGACAAAATAGGGAAAATAGTTTTGCGACCTATCTGACAGATAACCAAACAGAAACAAACTACTGGGGTAAAAATTTCGCTGCCAATCTGACAGATAACCAAAAGAAACAAAAACAAGGGAAAATGTTTTGCAACCCATCTGACAGATAACCAAACAGAAATAAAAATGAGGCTAAATGTCTCATAGTCCACCTGAGAGAAAACCAAACAGAAACAACCAAACAAAACACAAACAAATGTAAATGGCAGTTTATTTGTTAAATCCAGTGTCTTTAGAATGACAGTTCACAGCTAATGTGATATCTGCTGCTGTTCAGAGGTGAGAAAATCTCATATACATGACTATAGTAATAATTCTGATAGACAAAGTGCTGCAGAAACATTCACTTGATTTATGTGTTTTGGTAGTTATTACTGACATGGCTGAGAAAATCTTTTCACACAAATAGGAGGCTGACAAAATGACTGACATCTTCTGATAGCTCTGTAACCCAGACATTGAAATTATTTTTTTGAGTGATATCCAAAACTCAAGACAGTGTCTGCATTTTATATCTGGACACAAGAGTGACATCAGAAGTCAACTCGATCAGCTTCTCTGTTTCATGATAATTAAGTGAGCATGATGTTAATCTTCCAAGAAGGGGTTAATAATCAAAAGGTTGCCTTTTGGGGGATCCTTATTTTCAGAGAGATAATTATCAGTTTTTAAGCTAATGTCGTCAAATGCTTTAAATGTTATTTTGAATATCACTTGTGCCTTTTTGATTATTCATTGAAGTGTTGATCCTAAAGACTGCAAGCCTAGGGAAAAAAAAGAAAACTCTCTACCTGACCCCGTTACATGAATGTGTAGAAAGTTTTGGTGGCCCACCTGGAGTTTTCTGTGTGACACCAGAATTATGTTGAAGAACACTGCCCAGAGCAGCAATGTTTTAGTTGTTGTTATTTGTGTTCGCCGCCGGCTGTAAACCCCGGCGGAAAATCCTGGCTTTCTTCCATTTCTGGATTTTGGCTTTGTTCCAGTACCTGAATTTTGTCTGTGCATCTGTTTGACAGATCTGCCTTATGTGTGTGTGTGGATTTTTGGTTCCTCCTTTTTTAGGCAGATGCAGTTCGACTTCGGAGGAAACATCCCAAATTAGTCGCCTTCTTTCATTTACCACTTCCACCTGTCTTGGTGAGGACCACTTCATTTGTTTGTTTTCTTTCATGACTATCATCCGTCTCGATAAGGACGGCTTCAGTTTTTTTCACTCCATGATATCCTTTGCATTCTTCTCAAAAACCACATGTCTGGTCATAAGTAAATATGTTTCAGCTTGTTTATAAATTCTTTTTCTAACCACCCATGAAATTGATTTATTGCATAATATGCATCTGGTCTTCCAGTAAATATATCTTCACTGATATTTTCCTGGTTAGTATAGACAGACATTTTACCCCACCAGAATATTACACTGAGTCATAAACTCCCAGTGACACAACGTGCCACCATTCGGATGAGGATCACCTGGGGACAGGGTCCCAGAAGCCTCTTCAACAAATAGGTTGGGTTAAATTAGGGCCCCCGGCAACAGCCAGGGGGCTGCTTAAAAAAAAAAAAAAAAAAAAAATTGCGTCCCACACGGAGACAGAGTTAGTGCTTTTCTGGTTGTATTAATTGGTGTTGTAAAAATGACAGCGTTGCAATAATCATAGTTTATAATTATTTCATATTCCAAGTTCTTACGCCTATTTCACGTTTTATATATGGGTTCCGGGTTCTTTAAAGTATTTTCTTTCTTCAAGATTTCAGTACATGTGTTTCTTATTTATTCTCAATGTCTGTATAATTTCAGTGTACTGTTGTTTTTATTTCCTAATCTGATGTTGCTTTTATATGTAAATAGCGTTGTCACATATACCACATATACGGTGAGATAATGCATTGTTAGTCTCTCTTCTACTGGCATGTAGTTAGGGTGACCATACGTCCTATTATCACCACGACAGTTACATTGTCTACATTTGCCCTGGCCGACCCGTTGATACGCCAAAAAACACTACAATTATCCCATTTTATAAAACTCTAAGAATAAGCTCGAGAATACTGCATACATTTTTGTTATATCTGGGGACCTTATTAGATTTCAGTTTCACATGTTTTTAATGCCTATCTGTTGATGGGAGTTTTCGTTGTAGCATTTAAAAAAAAATCATTTTCAGGGCACACAACAAGGAGCATGATGTTTCCTTGGCAACAGTGGCTTAGGTTTTAATTACCATTGCCAAATGAATTATGAACCTTTTCATCGGGGTAACCTAGCAATGACAACAAAAAAGGGTGCTAGGGTGGCGGGTGGGACTTAAACTGACTTACTTTTGCTGTCCCATTTTTAGCTCAAATCTTGTGGAATGTCCTGTATTCAGCTCATGTATGGTCACTCTACACGTAGTCATCAGCATGGTGTTTTTATGCTGAATCATTTTGTATCACCATTTAATGATAAATGTTGTGTTTTTTAATCGTGTATGATCTTGTTAAAAAAATAATCTTTTAATTGGGAGTGATTTTGTATGTCTTTTTGTTAATACTGAATAATCTTGGGTATGTCTTCTGCTAATGCTGAATGATCTTGTGTTTTCAGTGAGTGCTGAATAATCTTGTGTTTGAGTGCTGAATGATCTTGTATGTGTTCTCAGTTAGTGCTGAATGATCTTGTGTGTGTTTTCAGTGAGTGCTGAATGATCTTGTGTGTGTTTTCAGTGAGTGCTGAATGATCTTGTGTGTGTTTTCAGTGAGTGCTGAATGATCTTGTGTGTGTTTTCAGTGCATGCTGAATGATCTTGTGTGTTTTTCAGTGAGTGCTGAATGATCTTTGTGTGTTTTCAGTGAGTGCTGAATGATCTTGTGTGTGTTTTCAGTGAGTGCTGAATGATCTTGTGTGTGTTTTCAGTGAGTGCTGAATGATCTTGTGTGTGTTTTCAGTGAGTGCTGAATGATCTTGTGTGTGTTTTCAGTGAGTGCTGAATGATCTTGTGTGTTTTTTCAGTGAGTGCTGAATGATCTTTGTGTGTTTTCAGTGAGTGCTGAATGATCTTGTGTGTGTTTTCGGTGAGTGCTGAATGATCTTGTGTGTGTTTTCAGTGAGTGCTCAATGATTTTATGTGTGTTTTCAGTGAATGCGGAATGATCTTACATGTAGTTTTTTTTTTTTTTAAGTGTTGAATAATCTTGTGCCTATCTTTTTGTGATCTTGTATGTTTTTGTTATTTTCTTCAAACGATGAATAATTTTCTGGTGTTGCTGTTTTTTTTTTGTTTTTTTTTTTTTGTTTAAAGATGAATAATTTTGTGTGTCATCTTTTCATTCTAAGTGATCATATGTTTTCTTTTAATACAGAATGATTATTTCATCATCGTGTATCAGATCCTTTGCAGAATGTTGCTCTCATCACAATCTACATTAAAGAAACTTAAGTCTCCCACCAGCTCTTCTGCTTCATACACTTCCCTACCAAAGGTGTTCCTTATGTCCTGTGCCCATCTTTGAGCTGGTCGGTCCCTGCCCTTGTTTTATGGCACCATGCCTTCTGCTATCATTCTTTCCAATTTTTTAATGCTGAACCAGCTCTCTCTGAGGTTGATCCAGCATCATAAATTTGACACCACAGTCCCTTCTTGGATGCAAAGGGGGTGTGGAAGGGAGCCAGGCACCTAGTATCATCATCATCACTATCATCTTTTGTAGCTGCTGTACATCAGGTAGGTAAGTAAAAAAGTAAAGGACCCTTTCCACGCCTTTAGGCGTATAGGGCATATAGGGCTAGACCTATATTTTTATAGACCAACGGCACAAGATGGGTGATGTGGTCAGCATCACGCCGACCGCCTCTACTTCCCGGGACTGCCCCCGGTACCCACTCAAGGCTGGGTCGACCTGGGAGCCAAGGTCATTTTTTTTAAAGAAAAGTCCGGCTCCGCCAGGGAGCGAACCCACGACATCAGGTAGGGCTCACAGTTTAATCAGTCCTGTGCAGTTGTTTCAGGTGTCAGGGATGCAATCCATTCCAGCTTTTTTGGCCTCTCTCTTCAATGTTCAGGTTAGTTTCTTGTGGACGTCATTGTTTTCTCAGTCCATTTTGGTTCCTGTTTATTTGTCTGTTTG